CTTACGCACGAGGGAAGCGTCATAAAGAAATTTAAAGACCGCGGTTAGGAAACCTCGAGTGCAAGCCTAAACAATACATGTTTTTAATTGTTTAGACTCATACACTAGCAGCGGTTTCACCATTCCATTAGCTTTTTTGCAACAAGAACAGAATAAGTAATTAATTTTATGCTAATTTAATATAACATAGTAAAAATCCTAAGGTGTTAAGACAATGTTAGATTTCGAAAGAGCTAATTCTCCCCTTTCTAATGATGAATTACATGTCAGGGGGGGGGAATCTCTCTTCTGTGGAATGAAACCCGTATTGACATAGCAGCCGTGATGTGATGTGTTGTACTGATGGGATGCGCCCTTGACTTCTCATCTTTCCTGATTGTATTTCCATTCGATAATACATGTCAAGGCCGCATCCTCATTTCGTAATTGTTGCTGTGATCTTAGCGATCCTGATCTGCCTAATGGTTCACCCACGACGCATTTCCTCGTCCGTGGAACCCGCGTTGGGGGAACGACTTCTTTCTTGCTTTTTTTCCACTTTAAGGTGATGACTTCTGTCCCCTGGGTGATGAGGAATTGCATGTCGTCATGAGGCAGTGTCACGATCTCCAATATAAACTCCATCATTTCCCATGACACCTCCGCCCAATGACGTAACTTTAGCCTCGTTCTTTCACCCCCTGCTCCCCTTCTATTCTTTTTTCTTCTTCCCCTTTGTTTAACGACTATGATGGTCTAAACACGCTTCTTCTTTCTTTTTTTTTTTTTTCAAGCTTCCCTCGTGCAGTAATTTCCGTCACTACGCCAAATCGGAAATCAGAAGATGACGTTTTTCCGAAAAAAATAGTTACGCTCATGACTCTTCTCTAATTGCTCTACGAGTAACAATTAGGACTTAAAACGGACAATTTCACACTTCCGAGATGAATCTAAAGGATGAAGAATGCCGGTTCTGTGAGTAAATTAGTTTGAAAAAAAATTATGTCTTGTGACATCTCAAACGATGAAAGAAGGGGATGAGAAATATTTATGGGAATTTTCCTGGGAAAGGAGAAGCAAGAGACAGATGGTGAATCGTGCCCAAACGGGGAGCCTCATTTTGGAATATGATAGCGTCAAAAGTGTGATAATTCCCATCATTTTTCCATGTCTACGGCTAGAGTTCTTACAATTTCAGGCTTCTATCTTGTAATCTCCAGTACTATTTTCGTATTGGGAATTTCTCGTCTAGGTGAATGCCTCTGTTCATTCGAGACGGATGTGAATTGACTTTTTTGGGTGTGAGAATTCGCTCTCGTCCTTGCCACACGATCCAGCCCGGGATTCTTTTTGAGAAAGGCATGCGGTATCACCTATCGTGTGACCGACCCTGGATTCGGGGGCTACAGTTTAAAAGTTTATTGGTTGTGGTGGTAGGGGTTTGATCTTGGATGATGGGAGAAGGTAATGGAAAGTTCTTGGCATGCACATTATACAGGTGGAGAGAGTGAAAGTTTCTTTCCCTCCCATATCATTACATTATCCTCTCACTTCTAAGTCCGCCCTTGAAAGTCTCACAACATGAGGGGGGGGGGGGGGAAAAATTACACCAAGGAAGGCTTGGTTGGAAGGCTCACGGGAGGGGTAATATTTACAATCGTGTCTTTCTTGAGCCTAGACAGTATAATATGTAGTACAATAGATCTCGTGGTCTTGTTCCCTGGGGGGTTCCAAAGGGAAAGAGAGAGAGACAGACACGGGGAGCCTCTCTTCTCTTGTCCATTGCATAACCACGTGTCGAGGTCAGCCTCGCCCCATGACCAACATCATTACAACTCGTGACTTCCACTCGGCTCGGAGTGTTCTAATCCCCATGCTGTACTCTGGGTAGAAAAGAGACCCAGCGGGACACGATACGATTATTTTATTCTAAAAAATTCACTCAGCTTCAACTTACATTAAACATCAAATTAGACCATATGTTTAACCCTTTCCCCATATGTTCGACAACTTTGGTAGCCTTTTTCTAAGCAATGAAAACCAATTAAGATTTAGCGAGAATCAAAAATTGCTTAAACCTGATTCATCTACATTTCGAACCCTCATCGTTATTAAAATTGCCTCGACATGGAGTCAGGGCCTATGTAAACACACCAGTTCTAGGAGTTACTTTGTTACTGGTTGTATTATTGGTAATACTTTTTCTCTTGTAGTATGAGCTCATCGAAGATTAAACGAGTTCAACAAGTACATATTTAAATATCTGAACATTAACTATCTAAATGTAAGTTTATTTTTTTTTTATGCGAATGGTCAATATCTCTAAATGATTTGAACATTCAATCGTATTTAATTACCTGAGGAATAAAATTACTGTTACTTTTGAGCTAAGCATTCCAAGTCTTCAGTTACAAAGAGTGCCAGTCAAGAGGTCAACGCTGAAACACGAAATATTACTGTGCTGATGTACTGAATCAAATCACAGATACTGTATTACAAACTCAAATTAGAAATGGGTAAAGTTACAGTAAAGTTTGTGTCCTGTTGCTTTTTTTTTTACATTCTATGAGGGAAATTCTAAGTAGTGCTGTGGGTTCTTTTTCTCAATCTGAGATTAGTTAATGACGAAAGAGAGGCTGACCTCTGTGTCGATACCAATCGAGTGAATGATTGCATAGAGCCTAGAGGAGCCCTTCAACTTGAGCCACTTGTCTCCATTGCGTAATCCACCTGTAAGTACCTGTGACGCAGCGTACAATGGCCCCTTCCCCTTTGGAGAGGTTGTTAAAGCTTTTCCCACGTCACCATTTCCTTGGTCCCTTGCACTTCCAACAGCCTCACTCATGGTTGGTCCGATGTGGGAAGCACGAGCAGAAAACTAACGAAATTACTCCGCAAACCGAATTTTCTCTCCCATAATGACTCCGCCCGTTAATACTCCAATAATTATGTAGTCGGTTCCACCGCCCGCAATAGAGCCGAAGTATAAGTGGTAAAAGTTGAAATATTATTGCGAAACAAATTTCACTAATTTCAAATGTGCTTATTTGGAATATGCGATTACATCAGTGTGAACGGATCCAGAAGCATTCCAGTCTCCGGTCTATCAATTTCTCACCCTCTTTGATCGAATAGCTAGAAACTATATCACTCAGTAAACAGTAGCTCAAATTGAAGACTGAAGTGAAACCATAAGGTCTTGATGTTCAGTGATTACTAATGAATGCAATGTTTCAACTAGAAGCGTTTCATCTGTCTGCCATTCTAACTTACGTCACCTATTGTGTAGAACTCTGGAATCTATTAAATAGATATCTATATTATGGCTCCGGAGCATTAAAGATGTTGGAGCCAATTAAATTTCATTGAGCGAGGAATGCGAGTCCAGGTGACGTTCCTGACATCTCTCGCATTCTTCGAGAGTTGAAACTTACCCGGGCTGCACAATAGAGATCGTAAGCCCGTCCAAAAATTGCTGTTATCGTCGGTAGGGCTTAGTTCCTTTTCGTCCAAAAATGGTTTTACAATTACACTTTCCTCTTTAAATACATAAATAAACAATATATTTTTATTATAATAGAAACGGATTGAACGTTTTGCGAAGGTATGTGAGGCTAGGCTTGCTGGAGATGGAAGGTCGTCAAAAGTTTGTTTTCAAGGTGGGTTAACTGAAACCCGTATATCATTTTTTTTACCCTTTGCCTCTGGTCTTTATTCGAATAACTTCCCCCTACGCACGTAGACATGCAGGTATACGTCTAATGCTTGAAGTACAAGGTTTACTGCTACATGACGTATGGTGGTAACACCTTCCGCAAAATGACTTTCCGCACAGAGTGCGTCTAAAGAAATTTGGCGCGATGTGGTAAAAATGTTTGCCGCTCGAAGGACCAACGAACGTCTATCGTAGAATGGTCTATATCTTCGGCGACAACAGAGTTTCAAAATCCACAGTGTGCAAATGAACTACACCCTGCCATTAAGAAGAGACCCGTTGATCGGATTGCAGATGGCGTTATCCTCCTTCATGATAATGTAATATCATGAAGGAAAATAACATACGGCATAGCAACTGTGAACGTCTGGGTACGTGAACACCTTCAAGCAAGACTTAGTTGGGAAGTTCTTTTGTACCCCCTCCCTTAGTTCGGACCTTGTTTCGCGCGAAATTCGTTTTTTGGCCCCACAAAGCATACTTCGAAGGGGAAGCAGTTTCCCTTGGACGATTAAGCGAAGCATGTGATATCACTAAGAGCCACTAGTCTTGTGAAGCGGTGGAACCTGTGGCTCAATGCGCAGGGGTAGAACTTTCAGTGGGACGGAGAAAGAAAAACTTCTACGTAATTCATTTGACCCTACCTTGTAGATAAATCAGACTCTTGACTCCACTTCCATCTTCACCGAGATTTATTCTTAGTGATGGCTCGCTATGTGTCGTTATTTCAGTTCTACTGTTCATGTTAAGTGATGCATTATGAAGACTTTGAGGAGCATTACTTTCTTTCCTACCTTGTAAAGGGCAACACCCAAAGTCTAGCCCAGCGGTTCCCAAACTTTTTTGGTCGCGACCCAAAATTCAAATTCTCATTCACCTCGCGACCCAAACGATACCGGTACCTTCAGGCTAACTGCCCCATTCGACTTTCAAGAAAAATAAATGAATAAACATATCAGCTTCATTTCTTCCACTCAAGGTCAAGGGCCTTCCGCGACCCATCAGAAAACTCTCGCGATCCAGGGTTTGGGAACCCCGGGTCTAGCCTTTTCTGGGACAAGTATCAATATCTCTTATGTTAGCAAAAAAACCTACAAACTAGAGAATTCGGCTTCTCAACCTACGGCACTCCCTAAAAGTTGAGCTGCCCCTGAACGTACAAAGAAGCCTATGGTCGTGCCCCGTATTCTGCATCTCATAGGGAGGGACAGTCTGGCTTCCATTATGTTGTCTGGATGTGTCTTGAGGGTGATTTCTTTGATATTGTCTGAAGGTCCTTGTCTCGTTTGTCATTTTGCGACAGATCATGTTGAGGATTTGGGAGACGGTGGGGCAGGCGGTGACATGGTACGACGTGGTGGAAGCCCGTAAGGAATTCGTCGGATCTCCCGGACACACTGCCCAGGTCCTGGCACATCGGTTGCGGGAAAAGTCAGGGGGCGGAGGACACTTGGCACTTCTACCCGACCAGCTCTACTCGGGAGGGGTTCCTGTCGGGAACCTGCTGGACCTGGACGGATCCATGTACCAGCCCCGGACCATGGATGAGCACGTCAGGGATTCCTACCACTATGTAACTCACGGTGGGCAGTGGATGTGTCCTGATGGTCACCTGGTGGTTCATGGTGACCGTAGAACCTGCTCCGTGTGCGGACGCTCGCGTCCCAACGACCTTTTGTAAAAATTGTTTTTTAATTTTCACTTTCAACCCCTTTCCTGTGCCAAAGAAAACCCAAAGGGGTTCAACGTTTGCGGTATCCACCTCCTTTCAATCCTTCCACAGTCGCATGACTGTCCTTTTTTACCGTCCCTGTGAAACTCACTTATTGAATACAGACGTTGGTGCTTTCATCATATGGTGCATCCCCGGGGATGAAATACCGTTTGGGGATTCGATTCAGGGCCGGGCAGACTATATGGGTGAAGAGTAGGATGGCAGATGGTTGGTCCATGGGGTCATAAGCCCTTCGTGGGAAATTAGAAAATACGATGTACAGTGAGTTTCTTGCTTGCCTATTCTCGTAGCTGCCCTGCCTACTCTCATTTCCGAAATCTATAAATGCCAAGCACCAGTATTACCTTTGAGGCTGTGGCCATGCATAGCCATGATCGATGACAGAACAGGACGGAAGAGAAACGGTGGCATTCACCCTGGTGGTCAAGTCCCCAGGGTGAATGTCTCAGCGTGTCTACCTGAAAATCGAAATCGTCCTATGAACCTCATGACCTTGTGGCATGGCGGTGCACGTAGAGAAAGTCTTCCTCTCAAATTGTATGAAAATGGCTTTTCTCATGCGTGCTATGGAGACGGAGTGCGCGAGTTCCAAGCCTTTTGCGGGACACGAAAGCCAAATGCTTGGAAACTTGGTAGATCTAGTCTTTCCTAACTAGACCAACCTTAGTCACCATGTTTGTGCGCAACACCCTGGGATTTTCCAAATGATTGGAACCCTTCAAGAACAACAGCCACGATTGAATTGCAATTGGGAAGGTCCAGGCAAAAACAGAGGCATGCACCTGACGAATCTCAGAATCTCATACTCTAAGAAGCTGCGGTTCAGAGAATTCATGGTCATTGATCTATTCGTTAACAAAACGATATACTGGACACTTATTATTGACTGCTGTGAAATGGACGAATTAAACTATATACGAGGGATTTCTCAAAAGTTCTGCCAGTAGCCCACAAGTCGTCATCGGAGGCGGCCGCAAAGTGCTGGACCAGTTCGGGAAACTTATTTTTTATTAAGAAAAGGTTTTTCACCTGGTTGGATCCATCGCATGAAAAAATGCATTGAAATCGGTGGGGAGTATGTGGAAAAGGTGTGAAATAGTTGCCTATGGCAATAAAGATCAGAATTTAATCATGGAACAATAGATTTTTAATTTCTTTGGGGCTACTGGCAGAACTTATGAGAAATCCCTCGTATGTTGCTGCGTTTGTATTGACAATAAGATACTGTACATTGGCTATGGCATGCAAAAAGCGAAAAATTCTACTTTCAGCATCTAGTGAAAATACCTGAAAAGTAGCGATATGGTTAAACGATAGCCTCTTGCTATATGCCTCTGCTGTGGTGTTATGGTGAAGTTGCGGCTCAGTGATCTCAATGATGCAACTTACGACGACTTGAATCCAAAGGTATTCTGCTACAGAAACTTTTGATTGTATGAAACACATGTAGGACTGTGGGACTGCGAAGTTCTGGTAGGCAGAGTCGCACAGAATGGAAAAAGTCACAATGGGAATAGGTTCCCTCGGAACCAAGCCTTTTGTACCAGTTGCATTTGGTAAGTACGAGCGGCAAAATCTTCTGCACCCTTTCCATAGTTACCCCTTACTTGGCTAAGGGAGGAGGAGGGGGGGGGGGGTGGTCGTTATGACCCACAACTCATATTTATGTTGTTTATGTGCACTAAATGATTGAGAAAATTTCTGAAGAAAATATAAATGTAATTTGGGGTTCCATGTCACTTTTTCGAAAGACGCTCCTTCGACTGGACGTTTCTTCAACTAAGTTTTAGAATATTAAATTGAATAAAATTAAATTGATTGAACCCCATCTGACAAAAGTCTTTCAAAGAACGTCCAGTCGAAAAATTGTCCCATCGAAGTGTCTTTCGAAGAAATGATATGGAACCTATCACATCCTGGAAGGATATTAACAGTTTGAAAGATTTGATCAATTTTAGCGATTAATATGTCATGCGTCCCCCTTCTAGAGAACCGATTCACTTGCTACGTATGTGTGTAGGTTGGTACGTAAGTTGGTATGCATATGTTGATGGCTGAAATGTTACATAGGTGTATCCGTTTGACCCCAGTTTAAAATCCCGGCTGGAAACAGCTATAATATCCAGCTGGACTCCAGCTGTAAATTCGGACCCATTCTAACTGGGTAACAGCTGGAAAGTAGTAATCCCCAGATTTGTTCCTAATTGCTATATCACTAGCTGAATGAGAAATTTTTTGTTGATTATTTTTGTCAGAGGTCCATCTACAAGAACAGCTGATTTTCAACTGTAAATTTAGCTACATTCCAGCTGTAGGGTCCTCTTTAAAAAATTCAAACTGGGAAATTTCCAGCTGGAAACAGCTATTAAAACCAGCTGCATTCCAGTTGGAAAATTCCAGATAAGAAGCAACAGGTACCTACTATTTTCCAGCTCTTTGGCAGCTGGAAATGGTCGGAATTTACAGATTTGGTCCAGCTGGAATATTCCAATTTGGATTTTAAACTGGGATGCTAGAACCGCCAACTCAAACAAAACCGCAACATTTTTGATAAGTAATGCTTTCTTCGTTGTGGATCAAAGTAACCCCCTCCCCCCGGCCAAGTCAGGGTTAATACTTGTTGGAAATATAGGGTGTGTCAGAGAAGACTGACATATTTGAAATTTACAAAAAAAATCTGTTTCCTAATAATTTGCAATTTTTTTTTGCTGGTTAATATTCTGCAAGGTGAAGAGTTTCATTTGCCATTTAAAAGAAAGGGATGTAGCTTATCATATGAGGATTGTGGAACTTTTTCGCAGCAGGCTCCATTGTGCAAGCACAACGTGCGTTTCGACGTGAGTTAGGAGTCAGAATGCGCCATCTCGCAACACTATTGCGGTACGCCAAGAATTTCCCTGATTCAGGATCTGTGGACGATGCTAAAAAGATCAAGACGAATGCGAATAGCACGAACACCAGAAACCATAGCAGCAGTAGCAATGGTAATTCAGTGCAGCCCATCCAAGCCAGTTAGTCTCCTCTTGCAGGAAGTTGGAACAAGCACTAAATCGACACAATTTTTCACAAAAAAAAACATAGATAAGCTACTTCCAATTTTTCCATGGCAGACAAAACCTCAAACCTTGGAGAATACTAACTTTTAAAAAAAGTGAATGACAAACAAACAAGTTTCTCTTGTAAATTTCAAATGTGTTAGTCTTTTCTGATTCACCCTGTAGTTTTGTACTTTTATCCCCACACACCACCAGTGAGGGCTCCTCAGAAGAGCGCAGCGATCCAGCACACTACAGTATCTGTCCTCCACACCAGAGACACTGTTAGTCCTGCAGACATTGGCAAGATTCGTATTCCCTCAATTTTTATTTTCTAAGCTGCAAGTGGGACTTCAATATTTTTAAATTTTACTCTTCCCTTGGTCTTAATCTCTCTTTCAGTGGAATTATTTATTGCTGATGCATGCATTAACCCAATTAACTGAAGCCAAACTCAAATTGCATTTGAAGACGTCACCTTGGCATGGCTCCAGTTACAGTCAATAATGCCCTAATTGCAAAGTGGCTTGAGGGACAAAGGAAATGAGAATATAAGTGAAACTACTCTCTTTCTCCATTCATCAGAGGTTCACCTCATCTTAAGACCTTCAAACTTCCTCAGATTTTCAATATACCATTAGGAATTTTGGTTTCATATTTCAGCTATGGATGGCAAGGAATTTGCTGAGCTTTTGAATTTGAGAGTGATTAGCAGAATCCCCACCTTTACATGACTGTGTTTGGCCAGTTTTTTCTGTGAAGAATAGTCCATGCTCTATATATTCTAATCGATTATATGTCTCACTGCTATCAGTTCATCCCACACAGCACAAGTACATCCCAAGGATATCCCAGATATAACAGGGACAGTTGAGGGATATCAAAATGTCTGGGAGCTAAGACATCCCAAGGATGTCCCTTTCTCCAGAAAAAGTATATCCCCGAGATGTCACCTGTCCCAGATGAGTGAGAAGTCCCAGATACTACTTGCACAGACATCTCAGCAATATCAAAATATCGGGTGGGTAGCAGAATATTCCACGACAAATAATCCCAGACGGAAAAACCCTGACATAACTGCTTGAAATGTGACAGAGTTGCACCAGACAGATAAGAAACCAGCCGGTTTTGAATGGTATTTTATCAGTGGAATAATTTGTCTAGGGAGGTATTAGCATGGGATATTTTGTGTGAGTGTGAAGGAAAGTCTGGTATTAAGAGTCAGGAATTTTTTGCCGTAGGGTTATTCTGTCGGTTACTGCAAAATATATTGGTGCATTTCTAAAACGGACTCATTTCCTGCCACACAGGACAACCCTTTATTTTCTACAATTTCTCTGATCTGATCTTTTGGACTCCCCCAGTCTCAAGTTCTTGACTGATTGAAAAATAATGGTAAAGAGGGAGGCCTTTGCTTGTAAGACCACAATATAAGAGACACATCTCCATGAGGTAAAACTTAACTTATTTTATAAGAAGTCACCCAGTTTCATGGACGCCTTAGTTCTCAGAAGAATTCTCTTAGTTCTCATGGGCTCAAACTTCCAATCAGGATAGTGGTACCCAGACACCCCGATTAGACATTAATAAGAATATAACAATAAATTAAAATTAGCACCTCAATTTTTTCACTTTCCTCAGTGGCAGTTTCCCTGATGTATGGTACAAAAATCATTACTTTTCCTCTGTACAAATCAAGTTGATAAATTTGATAGAAAAGATCTGAGATTGAAAATTAGGGCATATGGGAGACATCTACCATCAAAGTTCAGCACCCGACTGAAGGTGAAAAAGACAACTGAAGATGTCTAAATGATGGCTCTAAGATTTTCTGAAGACAACCCTTTCACAATGTCGGAAACCATTCCAAAGAATGTCTTTAGGATATCCTCTAAGACCTTGGGACAAGTCATCCAGTTGGGGGTATCCCTGGGATGTCATTGTGATGTTCCAAATTTTATTGTGATCCCTCAACTCCTTGGTGCTGCAATTTCAATTCTGGCCTGTGTGTTCATTATAACCAGGTTATTCAAGTTATTTTGATAAGTATATGTGTCATTCGATTTGGTTCTCAGGGTGATGAGATTGTAAAAGAAATACTTGTTGATAGGCGAACCTGGAATCGATTATGCCATGCCTGAATCCCAACATGAACCATAAATTTTAAATCTTCATGCCATATCAGGGCATCAATATCTGAGTATTTCATTTCAATTGATGTAGAATGCCAGATACACAAATTAGACTACCTGGGTAGTCTAAACTCATTCCATTTCTCTTGTGGCTGAAGATTGATAAGACATTTTTAAATAGAGGAACATTTATAGCAGTTCACACTTGGTTTCAGCTTTACAACATAGAATTGAAAGATTCCAAATAAAGGAACATCTAGATTTCTTTATTTTTTTTTAAGTGATTCCAGGGTTAATCAAAAGGATCAAAAACACAAGGCAAGATTTGAATCACTCCCTCTTGAATCCCAGTCCTATTGAAAATTGGCTTTAAATAAGACTATTCAAAATCTGTTAAAATCTAAACTTTTTTCTTACATTGCAGAATATTTCTGGCAATTCTGAAAAAAACCAGGGGCTTACAACTTCCATGTGTACAGTGGAAAAGAGTAGCTTAGTACCTCCAGGGATGCCTGATCATCATGAAATTCTGACACACCCTGGATGATGGCACAAAGGGAGGGAGGTGTGAGGCTATATGCAAGAGGCATGAACCATTTTAAAAACAAATACGGAAAATTTTGCCCCTCGTGTGGACTATTACATATGAGGTATGAAACTCACTGAAAAAAAAAAACATAAACCTGTATAATATCTATGGCAAAAGTCAATATCCAAATCAATATGCAATCAATTTCAAAACAAATAATTCCAATTCAAATTGACAAATAAAAAACAAAAATTAACTTGACTCCTTCCAATTTTAATTAAATTTGGAAGGCTTGTAGGTTCCAATGAGATACTAATCTGTGGAAATTTTCAGCTCCTTTGGTCAAACACTTTTTAAGGTACAACTTTAATACTGTCATGGTCCAGTAATCACCTCTCACAAGCATAAGTTTGGTCTTAATTAAAGAAGGTAAACTTGGTGTCATTTTAAAGCTCTTTTGCTGTCCTTTCACTTGATATGTTTTTCATGGAGTTTGAATAAAACAAAGGTCAAAAGATCTGACTTGTGACTTCATTAATATTTTTGGCTTTGAATATTAATTTCACATGGTCCCACTACCTTTTCAAAGTTCTCAAGACATATTTTATTGACTGATTCTTGATTCATTGATATATTATTTTTTAATAATGGCACTTACCCCCCTTATATGACAACAATAACAAATCGGGAAATAGCTATCAAGGTTGCAAAGAGAAGCATCATCAAATCATACAACACTTGAGTGATCTCTCAAGGTCTAATAGAGCCAGGGTTGAAGGCACAACACAACACAACTAGAACCACAATTGAGGAATGAAGCAGTAATTACCAGCTTCAAATTTCATTTCAGACTAAGGATGAAACCCATAATACAAGAGGTCACCACATTTGAGAAATCAATGTTGGTTTGCACACACAGTACTCTGTTTATTGTTCATGTAGCCATTTTCACTCTTATTCCTCCTCTCAAAATGGAAGGAACCTTAATGCATGATCACAACAATCACTCCAGTTGCACAAGATGGGCCCATACAAGGACTGAAATGTACAGCAGGAAGGAATCCAGTGCCACCAATTAAACTTTATGAATCTTGGGAAGGACTCACCCCAGCCTTCAAAATTTCATTCACATGTGCATCACATTATTGAATGCCATCAACTGATTAAGATATTTTGAAGGAGGAGAGGGCATTAGAGGTGAGAACTTTAGAAAGTTGATCCTCCAACCTGAAGAGGGTGTTGGTCCATTCTCTGAGCATGGATGCAGTGTCCTGCAAAATTGTTTGCTGCCTCATCATTGCCTGGCTCAATCCTCGCAGATCATTGGTCTTGTCCACAAGTGGACCCTTGACACAAGTCTCAAGGGATTGGATGCACTCTGCATTTGCCTCCCCTGGAAAAAACATCACCTTCAATTACATGTAAATGTAATTGAATTGTAAATGTAAATATCTCCTCTGTGAAAGTCCCATGCACTATGATCAAATGAGATACACATGAAATGAATTGGGACAAGCCAAATATGTTGGGTGTTCATGTTGGGAAATTAAAAAACAAAAACAAATGAGAGCTGATGGTGCATTCAAGTTGGCCATCACATGAAATAATCATTCAATAGCCAGACATGTCCTCGGTTGGCTGGGAATGATCTCCCTCTGACTCCTCTTACCAAGCACGGCAATGGAAGTTCGTTGTGCCGAACACGCCATATAACGTGAACGGCAATGAAAGCGTTAAGGGAAGTTCTACCATTATCGAAAAAAGAGCTAGGCCAAAGATGTTTTATGATGTCACGTAGCGTCTCTCCGCCCCTCAACCACATTATGGTTTTCGCAAGGTCAGAGCGCATGTTGAGGAAGTGGGGCCAATCTTCTCCGCCCCTTCCCCTTGGGGTACACTCCTTTTCCAAAAAGCCATGAAACCTGTTTCTCGTATGAATGAGGTAGACGTACTTTCCCCATTTCCCATCTGTTGTAAGTTTAAGGTGGCAATAAAGGTAATTTATTGAAATTCTTAATTTTGGGTCATTGTTACGCAAGGTTCTCGGTTATCTCCAAAATCTCAACTGCAATCTTTTCGTTGCTTCAGACATTTGGTAGGCTTTTCATTATACCTGGCCTCAACCCGTCCCAAACCACATTGACTTGTGTTTCTGTTTCTCTGCCCTTCACCCTGAAGTACTTGTTGCTAAGCGCGTAATTCCTATCACCTTTCTTTCAGTTATATTTAGGGGTCAATAACCGATAAATGAATCCGACACCAATGACATACTTATTTTTTTTTTGCTCCCTGTGGAAAATTGTACAATTGCTCTGTTGATGTTGATTGCTGATTGAGAAACCATATCGAACTACAGGCCCAGTCTAGCTCTGCCTCACAACACTAATATACAAACCTCTTTTTTATTTTAAGGGTCTTAGGATATTTTCTCTGCTTTCGTGCACAGGGAACATGAGTTGGACAGTGAGTCAGTTAGTGACAGATTGCACTGTACTAATTGAGGCACAGCCTATGAAGGTTGTTTTATATCATTGCATATCAGTTTAAGGCTTGTTTATTCTATTTCAATTGGAGGGGAAATGTTTACCCTTTCTTGTGACATGTTGAATTGATGGAAATGTCAGGCAAAATAATTATTCAGGCCTTGTTTGCTCCAGGTTTACCATGGTATCACTAATACCCACAATGTTGTATGTTAGGAAAAAGTGGCAGGACATTAGGAACTCAGAGACACTGATCATGAGATCAGTTTTTCTCCATGTATTCTTTCATTCTTACTTTTGCTTCTTACTTTTTTTATTTATGGAGGGGCATGTGCCCCCTCTGGCCTATCCCCCCCCCCCCCAACCTTACACTGCTACTATAATTTTTNCATTCATGCGGACCTTGATTCAAGAGCCGTTCCCCGGGCGAACATGCCATTGAAGGTCTCTTCCACCATTGCCCCTAGCTCTTTCTAAGACGAGAATCCTGGGCTTCCATGCCTTCCGTGTCGCCTTTTATGCGACTGGTTTGGGAATGGTACTCGATCACGAAGGCAATGCCCTTCTTTGAACTGTTGTTGGAGTGCATGGATCGAGTCTTTCTAGATGGCTGGCAGACTGTTTTAGGCGGTCGCATTCTTCATCTGAAATGGATGAAGCAAGGAAGCTGGAAAACGTATTCGTATTCTTTTAAAATCTTACTCTTTCTAAGGGAATTGCTCCGCCTCGACCATGCATTTGAATGGCACAAACACCGACTAAGCACCTCACTCTGAGGAAAATCGCCTTTAACCCTTTGAGCCCTCAGTTCCTGAGCAATTTTGAGCCTTCTGCCTGAGCTCCTGGGCCAAAATTTGCTAATAATGGGTATACAATGTTTGTGCAAATATTATAGTTGTAATAAAAGAGATGAAGATTGATGCTTTGCATGCAAATAACAGGATGACGTACCTTCATTTTAACGCCAGAATTCTTTATTTGTGTGCCAATCAGGCAATACGTCATTTCTCTCTACCACCGGTAAAGCGGTGGTGAGGGCTCAAAGGGTTAATATCCCCTGGCCTTTTAGCGTCATTATAATAGTTAAAAGCTAGCTCGGAAGCGTACTGAGAGAGAGGGGTGAGTCCGCTGATTCTATAAATATAGGAGTTTGGAAAGAAAAACGGGAGGCGGAAGGCGTATTTGATAGCAGCTCGTTCAATGCCTTCTAGCTGACTGATGCTTCCACGAACTCGGATGGAGGACGAATCAAGGTCCGATCGTATTTTTATCGGGTAAATACTGATAAAAAGTCTATTTCACAGAATTTATTGATGGAACGGGACGGGACATTATATACCATCCCTTCTGATACACAATCGCGGTGATTAATAGATTAGTTCAACCAAAAATACGCTAGGGGTACGACTTACATTGCCATTAGAAGTATAAAAAATTACGAGCATATTTACTTGTTACTGTTAACTAAATTACTCACGATAATGTCCATTATAGAAACTGGGCAAGAAATCTGTAGATAAAATAGGATTCCTATTGATGAAAACGATCGAGGTATAAGGCTTGCGAGCGAGGCATGGATAATTTTAAAAAAAGTAGAGGGCGAGAGTGGGACAGTACACAGGGTCGTACCTCACAACACCTGCTACTCGAGTGCTTTGGACACGTTTGCCATCTTGTAACCAGACCCTTTATAATGAGACTTTATGGTGCAAAAGATTTGCACGATTTGCATGAAAACGCGCCTAAGTTAGGAATAGCCACTTGGGGTATTGGTTCGTTTTCAAAATTTCACTGGAATGATCGAGTGATTTTGCGATCGATTGGGCCATTTTTGAGATATTGATATCTAGTACTGTCAAGTACCTCGTGATGTACTTGACACCACACTCCTGGAAAGGACTCGAAGAGCGTAATTCGTTGATATACTGCTTTAGGGTTTGAAAATCCCACCGTAAGTGAGCGCTTTTCGATTTTCAGGTTAGAAAATAAAGGTAGAGGCAGGGCCGCCCAGAGGTCTCCAGGGGCCCGGGGCAGATTGCCCCAATTACCCCCCCTCTGGGCAGCCCTGGGTAGAGGTTTCCCTTAAGGAGGTGCAGTACCTACTCCACCGAAAAAAGAACTGGGGCCTGGCGTTTCATAAATGTCGGCGAGTGCCTCCCCACCCTCAAAACTCGCCGGCTCTGGGGAATTGGGAAAGTGCGAGGGGGTTGGGCACGAGGTCCCAGAAGCCCGTCCCTCACTTCTCCTTCTTTCCATTCATCACCTGACCAGTTGCAATGCTCCAAAATCGATTCTAAATTCAGGCTCAGAATAAATTACATGGAATGTGTTTTGACCTTAGGCATTGGATCAATAGCTGCAACTATAGCTGTTACTAGGCCTTTCATTAAGAGTGACAAAACAGTACGCGCGGCTGATAGTTACCAATTAGCATGGTTCCTATTTGGAATGCTGGTTGCATTCAGGTGCTATATTTCCAAGCCGTATTGGAGAATGAGTTACTGAAAGGACTACAAGGCTGTAGGACTGTAGGATTTTGTAGTCTAACTGTAGCATTTATATTTTAGAATTATCTCATTTGACCCCATGCAGAGTTCTGGGAATAACTATATTTCAAAAGCAAAAAAAGGATGCATGGTTTAACAATTGGATACTGGCATTCGCAAATGGCTATTGGCATACATCTCAATATACTGGATATATCCCAATTTTCAAGAAGTTGGCATGAAATGGATTATTCCCAACTCTGCATCTGGTAATGAAAATGATCATTTGAATCAGAAGGACCCCATTAACTGGCTGTTCACATGACTCACACTTGTGACTCTCAGCAAGCCTTCATAACCAAGCAGTTGTCTGGTGCTTGACTACTAAATATCATCCACTGTTGGTGGACTGCATCATACACGATGTAGCTGCCTGAGATTGAAAGATCCATCTTGATCCAGGTGAGAGTGCAATTGACATGATTGCTTACAATTCATACCATCTCAGAAGCCCCACATTTTGCTTGTGCTATTGCAAGCTAAACTTTCATCACCTGCAGAATTACTTTCCCTCCCATTTGTAAGGATGGAAGCCACTAATCAAGACCATGTGCCAAAATATGTTCAACAGATCAACAGATACTGTTTCAGATAAATTCAAGTCTACTGGATATTAGGCCAGCAACCAAGAATGAATTCTCTTCTTCATGAAGAAAAAAGATGGAGAAGTGAAGAGATATGCCACAAGTCAGCATTCAATAACAGTTTGAACTCCAGGAATTCACAAAGAAAATGAATATGTGAAACCCAAGACTTACGTAGTTTGACATGGAGAAGAGATTCTCGTCTTCCTGGATCCTCTGAGGGACTTTGCAAACCTGAAATGAACAACATTCCTTACTGAAATACCTTTCCAGAATTTCTGAAAAGACACTGCAGGACTACTTACAAGGAACATTCATGAAGTGTGATGCTCTGATTTTAACCAAAATTTGTACAAATGCAGTACATAATTATTAAACACTGTAAATAGAATTTTATGTGCCCTCATGGCCCAAAGGACTGATTTATTAAATTTCAAAAAGTATGAATTGCAAGAATCCCATACGGAAAAATCATATATGATTTTATAAGAAATGGGCATATATGATGTATGGGACATATATGGTCTACCATATATGATATTATATGAACATATATGGGAAAATATATCTGATCATATATGGCAAGGTCATATAAGAATTTTATAAAAAGCATGTATGTAAAAGATATAGTGGAGCAGATAAGAAACTCTTATGATTTAATATATTTATCTATATATCTAGTATATGGTGAGGCATATATGTCACAACTGATGAGATACATGACCAAATCAGGTATGAAACATACATGAAATCATGACACTCTTGCAAATCTCTCCCAAATGTCAAAAATGACTTTTGGAACTAAGTTGAGAATTGGCACTTCATTTGTTACTTCTGTGTAAAAACAAAAACCATTCACTAATTTACTGAAAATGAAACATGTTGGAATATGTGAACAAAGATGTCCATATCAATTTCAAGTTGTACCATCAATCAGGATCTGTCAATTAGTACTTCCAATGAGGGAAGAAGAAAATGAAAGTAAAATCACAGCAGTTTCTTCACATCCCTGCCATTCAGAATTGGTTTAATGTGTACTTCATAATGGGAATCATGAGAATGGCCTGATTGTGTTTAAAGCCTCAGAGTGTGCCCTACTTGTTTTCAAGTCCTACAGTTCCATAAGCGTACAGTGTATTAACATATACAGCCTTTCAAAACATGGTATAAGTAATTAAGTAATGTATGGCTTACTTCATAAGGAATTGTATGCAAGCCGTTATGCAGCATTACAACCATCATTTAAAAGAGCAGCAAAACCTTTCCAGCAAGAAGCATGCAGTACTTGTAAATTTTATGTGGAAAGGCCACAAAGTAATTGTTTTTCATACCATATGGCCATACCATCTAAATTATATATCCCATATGCATATGGTACAATATACATTTCCAGCAACACATATTTTTTAAATGAAAGCATGCGTGCTGAGTGTGTATTCACAATATGTGAAAGTTCTTCATAAAAACCATATACTTAAATTAGGTGTACCATATATGCAGGAGTCCATCCCTCAAATTGTATAATTTTATTTATATAGAACATATATATTGCCCTGGTATGCTTAATATATGAATAATCCTTACATGAATCATATGCTCCAACCATATATGCCTGCATACAGGTATATGTGCATGCATATTTCAATACATGATAAATATATAAAATTATAAGGCACAGATAATTGCATATAACTACCATATATGATCTTTCCATATGAGATGAAAATCAGTATAAAGATGGTAGAACCAAAGGCGTAGCTCACAATGGGAGCATCTCATGAATGTGGCCACATCACATACACTATCACCTATTAAGTTTTAACAGTTCTGTTGAAAGATGTATAATTTCAAAGCAATATTGAAATGGCGTGATATGTGCTTTGGGCCTCTGATCCATGTATCCAGCTTTGAACCGAGCATATTTGATGAAATTTTAAAACTGAGGAGCTGAGAACTGGTTGTGGGTAATTGACTGTAGTGTTAAAATATTATCACCCTGAAAAATATTGACTTCAAGATGATCCATGAGAATATGATCTGAAACTTTGCGTGCAAAGTCTTTCCACATGCGGAATAAATAAACATCCAACAGCTGGATAATTCCAGTTATTTTTTGGTGGAATCTGCATTACAGCCATTGTTCTCCAGTTTAACACCATTAATTGCATCCTGATCTTTGTAGGTGCCCAAGGAATCAACCAGAAGAAAATTGTTTTTTAACAGCTAGGAATGGCACTTCTTTGAAATACCCATCGACAAGAATTTTAGTTATCAGATTAAAAATTAATAGGTGATGACATATGAGGGATTTCTCAAAAGTTCTGCCAGTAGCCCCAAAGAAATGAAAAATCTAGTGTTCCATGATTAAATTCTGATCTTTATTGCCACAGGCAACTATTTCACACTTTTTCCACATACTCCCCACCGATTTCAATGCATTTTTTCATGTGATGGATCCAACGATCAAAGCACTGTTCAAAATCCTTTCTTTCAAGCCTTTTCAAGGTCCAGCACTTTGCGGCCGCCTCTGATGACGACTTGTGGGCTACTGGCAGAACTTTTGAGAAATCCCTCATATGTCATGTGGCCACATTCATGAGATACTCCCATTGTGAGCTTCACCTTTGTTTATCTCATTTTTATATTGACTTTCATTATTGCAATTCATTATTTTTGAAGTGTTGTAAATCAGTCCTTGGGCCACAAGGGCACATAAAATTTTATTTACAGTATAAAATAATTATGTACTGCATTTGTACAAATTTTGGTTCGAATCGGAGCACCACACTTGGTGAATTTTCCTTGTTAGTCTCCTCCCTGGGTGGAAAAGTAGGAAAGAAAGAAATACAGTGTGATACAAAAGTAGCTATACAACTTCCATGGCTTATACCTCCATTTGCCTGCTTCACAGTACAACAAAAGTGGTATGGAAGCAAAGGTATAAACTTCAAGTTTACATCATACTGTTTGTAGTTCCAATGTTCACCACCAACAGTGCTATTATTGTGGAAACCAGAACAGCCACCACTGCCATCAAATGCTCTAGAACTGAAGGAAAAGATCACTGCAGCTGAAGTCAGAGTTACACCAGACATGCTGCAATGTGTATGGAATGAGATTGAGTATCGCTGGGGTATTTGCCACATCACTTCCAGTAGTCACATTGAGTTGTGATAATCACTGAATTTGAACTTGAAGTTTATACCTTTGTTTCAATACCACTTTCATTGTGCTGTGAAGAAGGCACATGAAGTTACAGGGTGGGCCAAAAAAATATTAGGTTATCTTTAGCACTTCACAGTGTAATTTCTCAAGAGTTTGAAAATATTGCAATTGCATCTCAATATAGAACATTTACCTAGCTTTCCACTGCTGTCAAAAGATTTAAGATCCATTCCATTGCAGTTATGCACAGAGAAACAGAGATAGCACTTGAAAATTGCACCTTGTAAGATGTGCTCCAGGTGACATCTATGCCTTTGCTTGCACATTCACAATTTTCCCAAGGTGTTGTTCACATTTCCAGCATCACATCTATCTTCATCTAACTGCATGGAAGTTACGCATGAATCTTTTATTCTGTTGACAACATTGGAAAGCTGAATGAATGTTCTATATGGAGGTGCTATGGCAATTTTAGCCAACTCTTGGGGACCAGTGCTGTGGAGTGGCGAAGATAATTTAAGTTTTTCTTGGCCCAACCTGTATAAGCCACAGAAGTTGTATAGCTACTTGTGAATCATGCTGTATATGTACTCACTAAATGAGGATGGTGAGGAAGGAGTGGAAGAATCCTCTTGTTCATTGTCTTCACTCTTTCTCCCAGGGGATTCATCTTCAGATTCAGATTCAGAGGCTTCTCCCATCACAACCACTCCCTGATGAGACATTTTCTACTGCACCAATAAATATATGTTACTTTTCCATCTCTCTGCATGCAAAAGATTCCACGATTGACAGATCCCAATGCATCTTCCAGACAAAGAAGCCAGGATATTTTTGTACAGGGTAGATCAAAAGTTTGTACAATGCTTTAAGTGTTTTTCTCTATCAGACCTTTAGCTTTCCATAAACGGATTGCACCGTTTAAAAGAGTACAAAAAAATGATCTAGAAAAGTTTCCTTTTATTCTATATAGCCCCCATTTGCCTCAACCACACATTTGAGACGCTTTGAAAACTCATCAACCACATTTCACAAGTATTCTTCAGGCATTTCATCCCATATACACTTCNGTAGAGGTTAGGTCTTCTCATTGTTAAAGACAACAGAATATAATGAAAAATAATGTGGAGAAATATATCGCCATGTCTACATCTGGCAAACATGCAGAAACATGAAACATTGACTTGGCTGGCATCAATCTTACCAAGTCTGACTTTGCTATTTTAACTTGAATTTGTCAGAAATCATGTTAACTGAACACATTAATATGTTCACACCTAGTTACAATACTTGGGACCCAGACCAGCTGCATGCTTCACAGGTGCATAAGGACAGGAGATCTACAAACCAGATGATTCACACTCAGTACTGCACAGTCAGTGTTCTGTGAAGCCATGGACTGAGGGAGCGTGAGATCTGTCAGGAGGAGGCCAAGGATGATGAGAGGGGCATGGCAGCATTGTAATGCTCTCCAAGACCATAGATGAAACGATGATATGTGAGGATAAGGGAAGTTTGAAGGTCATCTCCAAAGATGAGTGTGGGTGCATCCCCCTGGATCACCTCCAGGCGACATTTCAGGGCTCCACTCAGTGCTTGCAACTGTGTCAATATCCACAATGCATCAATGGTCAAGGAATAGATCACAGTTCTATTGTGAATGTTTTGCTTATTTTTTCAGACATGTTAACCTCTTGCAGAAAAATACACTACAGCCTTAGAACAGGATAAGTAATGGAATGGAATGAGATGCAAAGGCATGACATGCATTCATGCATAGGAAAATTTTAGCTTAAAATGCATGAGTGAAATGTACCACAGCTCCACCTTTCTTGACTGACCCTCATACCTGCAAATGGTGAGTTAGCAATATTTTTCTCTCTTAATTGCCATAGGGAATGCAGC